TTTTTCCAATTCCTTCGAACCTCTGGACAAAAAAAAAAAACCCCGAGAGACCTTTGTTAGTTTACAGCACACTGCTTAAGTACTGCAGTCGAACCTGTATTAGCATGACCATAAGTACATACAGTGTTCCTCAAGCTTTTGTAAACTAAAATAAAACAGTTAACAATTATTCTACGAGCGCTCGTTGGATATGAAATGGTAGATGGCCAACGAGGCGCATAGCGCCGCCGAGTAGGCTATCTATCATCTCATATTCAACAGACGCGAGTGGAATAATTGTTTTACTAAAAACGCCCCCAAAATATAGAAAATTAAACAAAAAAAAAAAAGCGTACGCTTACCATATTTGTAGAGCAAGGTATATTAGCTCATAACCCATGTCGGCTAAGCCAATGAAAACTTTCGAATTGCATTACCCAATGATCCAGTTTTTAATAATAATGATTATCCTGAACATACAATAAGGTTATGATACAGCAATCAAGTTCTATCGGTTTGATTTGAAAAAAGCAAGATGAAATTAATTTAATTTGTTGATTATTGACATGAAAAGTGTAAATAGTCAATTAATATATGGAGAATGTCGACATACAAAAAATACGAGATAACCCCAGCCACCCCTCTCACGTCAACAAAACTATCACTTACGTCCTTGTTTGACCATGTAACCACAGCACTTATATTCCGACACTGTGATATCCTTTTCGGATTGGTGATCGATACCTAAAAAAACAAAGGCAGGTAAGTGATCTCACGAACGCAGACATACCTTCCTCCACTGCAAATAACAGGTGAAAAACAGTCTACACTCGCAGAACGCTCACGCTGAAAAACTACTCGTATACCCCGTCCACACTGGCATGTTAAACATTTAACTAAACACGGTTAAATATTAGTTGCTCATACCGTGCACACGGCACAGCTTAAGGACGGTGCCTACTAAATACGAAGGTTTTTGTGCCAGGTTAGGACCACGCGGAAAAAGTAGATCTTTGCAAGGGCTACTGGAATCCATCATACATACATATATCATACATAAATACATAAATACATCTGCATTTTTCTGTAAAAAGAAGGAAAGGATATTTCTTCACAGGTTTCCGTAGATTTCGCATTCACTTACAGAGAAGTAAACACATCTAAAAAGATCTTTTAACTACATGGCAAATGGTAACATAAAAACCATTTTTGGTTTGCTTTTTATAACAAAATCGTTGCAGCAGCGCTTTTAGTGTCTCTGACAGCCTTCCTCTGGTTCAGCTAAATTACAGTCTAAATACCTTGTGCTCACAATCAGAAACCAATCACGTGTTGAATAGGCTTGCCACTTCCATTTCATAACATAAAATGTAGGGGTAACCACGCGTTTTTTAAGTTATTCATCTTTTTTGAAAACGTTTACGGTGCCCGTTACATTTTTTCCTGTCACCTCCCCAGTAAGTAAGAAATTTGCGTATCTCGCACTTGTTTTGCGCGCGCACTACGCCATCTGCAGGTACATGTTTTTAGTTGCATTTCAGTATACTTTTTGACAGATAACAGCTAGGTTTTCAGCTGGAAGACGTAAACAGTTAGTGGTTAGCGATATGCTCCTATTCTGGTGTTCCTGGTTAAGTACAGATTCATTAAACTTGATTTGGTCACAATAGGAAAATTTTGCTTTCATTTTATTCGTGTACTTGGTAGCGTAGTAGATTGCGTCAATGTCAACCCCAGTGCGCGCGTGGCGCTTAAACCATGGCTTGCGTGTTGCGCAGAACGCGTGCGCACTAACAAAAGTAGGTGTTTGATTAAATTATGTTAGCGAGGTGATCTGAAATTTTTCTTCTGATTTAGTTAAACTAGTTTAGTTGGTGTGAATGGGGGATAAGTAAGTTTTGTGGGCTACATTGAGCGGACGCAAGTGATGATGAATAAAATAAAATAAAATAAAATAAAATGAAATGAAATGAAATGAAATGAAATGAAATGAAATGAAATAAAATAAAATAAAATAAAAATGAGAGCCTGTTATTTTCGCTGAAAATTACACGACAAAGTCAAAGACGTTGAATATTGCTCATATATATTTCCTAACCTGGTCACTTTCGAATAGGAAATCATTCTAGAGGTAGGCCAATTTCTGAAGCACGTTCACGTTTTATTACTCTTAGAAAGTTCACATTAATAGCAGTAGCAGTGAGATTTGGTGGCAGTGTAATTCAATGGTAAGGTCCAGGAAGGAGGGAGGGGGTGGAGTGAATTTGTGAGCAGTGCGAGAAGGGACATGTAGCCAACAAACAAGAGACTTATTCACCTGTGCTGTCGAGGTAATCCTTGAGATTACTATATTTTTCAGAGATGGGACGGTTTCTCACATCACTGCTAGACTCTGGTGTAAAATAGATACACAAAGGTCAACAACTGAACTGCAAAAACAATTCCAACCCCATACCCGGCTCTGAGGTGAAAACACGCCGATAGTAAGCTATATAGTTCTCTCTCTCTCTCTCGCTCAAAACCTAGTTTCTGTTGACTGAAAGCACAAACCTATTTACTGTAACTCTGCGGGCTATGCATCTAAACTTTTTTACGACTACTTTTTATGATGTAGCTTTGTTTGTGTGTTCCTAAATTGTTTTTCTCACACCATGCCCCAAAAGGTGCAGAAAAATGCAGCTAAGAAGAGTTCATGGAGGGCAATTTTTTCATGGTTCAGCTATTATTCGGCTAGCATGACAGAAGACCAGCATCTGCTGAAAAACAGCAAGAATTGTCTCTGGATAAGAAAAGTACGAATTAATGTTACCATGAATTCGCTGTTTGTTTGAGCAAAACAAAATTGAGATAGTTAAGTATAGAAGAATCTTTGCTGACGTCATTGTTAACAATTTTCCTCATTAACATACGACTTTGCGCAGAGACGAATTGACTACAAACATTTAAAAAGCTTGTGAAACTTAGTAATTGGTGAAATTTTGGCTCTTTAGGTGTAACATTCGAGGAGAAATTGGCGTTCAAAAACTGGAAAAAAACTATGGGTGGCGAAAGCGCTAATGGGCTCATACCTTCTATATAACATTTTGAGTTTTTAAACCCGCGTTGCACAAAAAGTATTCAATTCATCGGGCTCAAATTCCTTAGGACAGTTAATGGTGCTGTGCCCTTTCAGTATTCAGAACTAGTGTTTTTGTCGCTCTATCAGAAACTGTATCGCTTATGCTAATGAGGCAAACATTGTAAACAAAGATTCTCCTATGAGCTACGTATTCGTACCCTTGTTTATAGCGTTCAGAATCTGTTCCGTGTAGAATTTACTACTCCCAACGCGACGTTTAAGACTAGTAGTTTTTTTCAGAACTCTCCTATGGCGGCTGTCAATGTCTAACATGTCATCCAACGACCGACTACGCGTCATGCGCCTCGAGGGCGGTAACGACGTCATAGATGACGCCATAGGATCCGGGTCCTCTTCAGACAAGTTGGAGGCCACACTTGGCCAAGTCCCGGATTCGTCGAGAGCGTGATCAAGCGAGCTGTTGCTGTGCCCATGATTGAAAACACCCAAATGATCGTTGGAGCTCTTTTTTCGTAAGGCTCGGTGAAGAGTAGCTGTGTAAAAAGACATCTTGGAGGAACAATCTTCCGAGTCCACAGCTGCCAAGCGTTTTAACAGTCGAGAATATTCGTCCAACAGCGACTGGGAGAAATAAAAGGGACAGCTCATTCAATTGCTTGATTTCTAAGGGGCCTTTCACACTCTTCTGAGCATGCGCATGCGGCGATTTGACATTACCGCGACATAGCTCTTTTAAGGATGCTCGCGCCAAAAATGTTCCAACGTGCAGATTTTTTTTAAACTTGCCATGCTGTAAGGTAAAGATCACCTTTTACCAAAAAGTAACAAATTGGAGGCGGTCACCTTGCTCGTTTTCGAAATAAGGCGCATAGAAGTCCAAGCGCTTTTAGGGGCTTTTGTTATTTTAAGATGATCTTTAGTAAAAGAAGCTGCATTAGTGAAATTTAGATCAGGTTAACGTACTCAACTCAAGACAACAAAGTATATTAATTAGACTTTTACAGCTGATTTCGCTCCTTGAGGTAGAATAGGCCTTGAAAAAGAATACATATAAGCCTTGCCTCGGGACATGAATTACGTGCGCAGTAAGGATGCGCAGTAACAATGGGCGCGAACGTATTCAACACAAGAAATGCATAATGACACAAAGACAACATGATCACACACGTGTCACTGTTTTACCTTGTAGAGTTGCTCAAGTTTCAGCGCCTGTAGCTCAGCTGCTTTAGAAGCATCGTGTACATGATCGTAACGATGGCGATTGACGTAATGTGAAGACCATAGTTTAAGATAAGGTATTCTGTACTGAGGATGGAGAACTCTGCGGTAAACACAACAGGAAAGTACGACATTTGTCAATATAGTCATACTCTGATTAATAGGACTGTTTATTTTTGAGAGACACGTCGAATCTCGTGAGCTTCTTCGTGAATAAAATGCAACTGGCGCGAAAAGATGACCAAATCTTCACAAAATCTAAAAACAGTATTGCAAAGTACGCGAGGCGAAAGTTTACAGACAACGACCAAGCATTTATCCGTGAAACTATAAATATTTCTCACACCAAAAAATAAGTGAATTAGAAGAGCGGGCAAAGTTCTATTAAATACCGCAGGTCACAATCGCTGGCAACTATGCAATAAAGAGAAAGTAGGCTAAGGCCCCCTCCACACTACGCCGGAGGAATCTGAAAACAGAGTTTTGTTTCTCTGGTTAGGCCTACCGTCCATACTAATCTGTCACGAAAACGGAGCTTTTCGAAAAAGCTCTTCAAATCGGAGGAATTTGAAAACGCCGACTTTGCGTTCTAGTGTTGATAGAAACATTTTGAAAACGAAGCGTTTGGAAAACGATAAAGTGACGATAGTCACGCGATTTCCTTGACCGAGTTTTGTGTTTACTCAAACAGAAATCCAAAATGACTAGTGATCGATGCGTTTTCAAATTCCTCACGCGTAGTGTGGACGCGGCCTAAGCTTCTAGTTTAGTTGTTGCACGTAAGGTCACTTTCATTACCTTTGTTGCTGATTTTTGCTATATCGCATATTTTTGAACTTGTCAGGCTTCGACATTGCGACAACGTTCAACCAAGTCCAAAGGGAGGTGGTTTTCTCCTCGATATCTTCCTGAAATGCATACCAAACAGATATGCCATAATATGTACGTAAATGTTCTTTGCCTCTCAATAGAGCTTTTGCTGACAAGAAAACAATGTTAAAATGGTTTTCCTGTTCCATGCCGCATAGAAAACTGTATTAGTAAGTCGGAAAAGCGAAATCAGCACATGAAATTATTTGATTCTTTGACTGGGTGTCAAGTTTGGTTTTCACACGCAGATGTACACGCAAAGCACACGCACACGCACGCATTTCGCACGGTCCGGCACTCACGAACATAAAAAAGAAAATCACATAAGTACGTTCACTCGTACATCACACCCAAGCACACTCGCCCATGCACGAAAATAAACATAACAAATAATAGATAAGAAGCCAAACCTGAAAATGGGCTCTTTGCACGATCCGGTCACATGCAATAACATGAGCCATTCTGGGCCGAAGGTTACACAGTGGGACATCCAAAACAAAGCAACTCGCACCAGTACAGCTTGTCTTTTCTTTGTTTTGGAAGTCTCACTGTGCAACTTGCGGCGCAGCATGGCTCATGTTGTACCAAGTTACTTGCTTTGACCTCTTAAGTAAAACAACAACAACAACAACAACAAAAAAACAACAAATAATCCAGAGTCTAACATAATTCTTTACATAATGTAAGCAAGTTCATAAGTATAATGTCAATATAGAGTTTAAATCATAAAAAAAAAATTCTTGAAAAATACAACAGACCCCCCACGCACCTCTTCTCCCTCGCGTTCAGAGTTGACAATAAACGTTCCAAATCGAGATGAGTACACGTGTTCGGCAATCACCTGAGAAACAGAGATGTAAATAATGTGACTACACTGGACAGAGCGATCCAACCTAAATAATAGGCGATTCCCAAAAAACGATTCCCAATTTTTTTACGGCATTTTCCCGGAACGCATCCAAACCGTTTTCTTCCAATGTAAACTTAAGTATTTCAATAATTAACGAGATAGGCGTGGCAGGTTACCTCAAGCAAAAGGCTGTTGAACTCGAAAGCGAACGGAAACTGTTCCAGGACCTGAATACGAAAGAAAATAATGTCACTTCTTAGATCAGTGATACGCCCCGCCCCCTTGTTAGGATCTGTTGTCGAAGCTATAGGTTGAAAGATTCTATTCACACTAGCCGCAAGTGGTTCCATTTTCTCACCAGGACGAATGACTAGTAGCAAATCATTGGGTAAAAGCCCATTCATTAGGAAGTATGGGTAATCAAATAGCATACTCGTAAAATTAAGAAATAACTTCACCCGCATTTTGTCAAAATTCTTATAATTTCCCTCGCCTCAAGGCTTGGGACATTATTAGAATTTTGACAAAATGTGCGTGAAATTATTTCCTAATTTCACTCCTCACCATTTAATTACCTTTCAATATCGTGAGTGACAAATTACACTTACAATCGTGGGGTTTTTGACTTCTTTTTAGTATCGAGAAATTTCGTACCACTGCCATGGCAATTTTGTAATCCACTTGTGAACACTATAAATTAACGCTGAAATTTCGCGTCAAAATTAAGGAGTAATTTGTAAATTATTCCACGACCGCGCGTTGGATTTGAGATGATAGATAGCCAACAAGGCGCGTAACAATCATCTCATATCCAGTAAGCGCGAGTGGAATAATTGCTTTACTAAAAACACCCCCAAAATATAAACTAAATAACAAAAAAGGCCCCCAAAAAATCATGCGTACGCTTACCATAATTGTAGAGTATGTTATAATGGCTCATAATCCATGATGGCTAAGCCAATGAAAACTCTCGAATTGCATTATCCAATGATCTAGTTTCTAACAACATATTAACAACCCATTTCTGTTGCAATTTTAACCTTCATAATTTCACTGACAAAAAAATCTTCCTCAGTTTCAAGCCTCCAAGGGTTAGCCTCTAACCCGCTCGGACAACACTACTTTCCTGAATATTTAAAATTAGAATCTCTTCAATTGCTTCTAAGCAGATTTGTCAAAAACGACTTTTTTCCTGATTGATACAAGAAAAAGATCTTGAAGGGGCGATGAGTGTCGCTGTACCTGCCAAACACAATCCAACCACTGAAGAAACACAGGACTGTGTTCATCCTGAGTCTGAGACAGGAGGGTGCGGTCATAAAATTTGTGACCAAATGACAGCCACTCCTTCTGAATCAACACCTAGATAACGCACAAAAAAAATTGAACAAGCATCAGTATGTTTGAATTCAATCAAAAAGACTACAGGTATGATTTTACAACCAGTTTCAAGCTTCATCTTGTGTTCTTGACCAAGATATCTTGAATATGAAGAGATGATTGATCATCGCAGTCACACTAACAACTTAAGCAGCTGTAATTTTTTTTTTCAAGCCTGAAAAAAAGTTCAGACTTGAACAGGATTCGAACCCATAACCTCTGCGATACCGGTGCAGTGCTATCAAGCCTACTTGGAGCTGGTCATGTTGTGAGTTCAATATGAAATATCATATAATTGAACTGCGGAAAAAGATACGAAGACGTAATTGATCATTGCAGTTATACTAAAAAAACTAGTATCACTGCGATGATCAATCATGTCTTCATATCTTTCTCCGCAGTTCAATTATATGATCTTTCATATATTCACATGTATATCTGGGTTACTTATCAAGCGAAAGACCTTTTAGGCGCGAGCAAGCAAGGCATGGGTTAGAAGGGTGAGCAAATCAACAAAGAACATGTACAAACCTGAAAACCAGCAACTGTTCTGTAGTATGGATCAAGGAGCAACTGAGACAGACTTGATACCTAACAAACAAACAACAAATCATTCTGAACCCAAATCAAATTTGTTTTCAATATCATGTGTGCTGTAGTACAAGGTCGTTTTTTTGCTGAATTTTCACGCCAAGGCCTTTGAGTTCAGCGGGTTTACAAAACAGATCTGGTAACAATTATTATAAATCTACTAGCGTTCTATCACGAATGCCGTTTTCTTAGTAGCTGCGCTACTCACTATCAATTCAGTAGATAGTGAGTAGCCTAGCAGTGTGCGCTTGTTAAAAAAATGGTGGCCGCTTCTTTCCGTTTTAGACAAGTCGGTAAAGAGGATTTAGATAAAGTTTTGAACGACTGGTAGATTTAGACTAAGACAACTAGATTATTCGTTCTCGATTTCTATGCGTGATAGTTGACGAGGTTTCAATCACGCGATAGAAAACTCGAGCTCATAATCTAATTGTTATGTAGCTGATTTTGTCTAGAAGGGTTTTCAATTGAGTGTCGTAAAACCAAAACCACAGTAATCACTCTAGCCAATCACAAATGAAATAGACAATACAGTGAACCAATCAAAACTCGAAGTAATTACATGTAGCTGACGCAAGGTTCGGGAAAACGTGTGCGAACGAGGCAAGATTGGTTTTGGTTTTACTTCTGGCGCGAGTTATTAAACCAATCAGGAAGCTAGGAAGCGCAAAACCAATTACTTTTCGACACTCAAATGAAAACCGCTCTAACTTACCAATTAGACTACTCGGGCAATCTCAAACCGAAGTAAAATCAAAACCAAAGTAATTGGCTGATTACTTTCGACACTCAACTGAAAACCGCCCTATTCTCTTAAAGCGGCACATAAACACGATTTCTGGTTTACATGACTCACGTTTACTGCTGTACTCTGTTTAATTCTGATAGACTTAAAGAAAGACTCTTTCTTACCCATAATACGATAACAACACACCTGAGCTGTTCTGTCAATGCCATCTTCATAGCTGATCAGAACCGATGACTTGTCACACTCCATAGCAACCGAGATTTGAGTGGCAGTCTGGAGCAGCTCGCTGACTTGACTAAGCCAATCAGAATCCTCCAGAGAAGAAAGCCATTTACTGTCATCACTGGAAGAGAGTCCATACCTCAAATCACTCAGAAAGAAAAGAAAACATTACAGAATTCATTTAATCTTACCTCCTACTTGACAGAACTGCTTGTAGCTTGTATGCACTCTGCTTGACAGCCTTGAAATCAGGGATTCCTTCGCCATATACAAACTTGGTGTTGGGATAATAGAAAGCTGAAACAAGAAAGATGGATAGGAATGTAACGCCTTAGAGTTTTTGTTCCCCGGGTGTTTAGTACAAGTAATAATGTTGAACAAATCGTCCAATGTATATCGGTTATTGACCAAGCGTGCGGTCAAGATGGCTGGGCATCGACCCAGTTCTTCTTTTTTTTGCGCGTTTATACACCGAGACGGAGTCGAGGTCTATAAACTTGCAAAGAAGAAAGAACGAGGCCAATATCCAGACAACTCCCGGAAGTCCGGCAAGATAGCGCCATCTCTCCTGCTCGGGTAGCCAATCACGACGCAAGATTCGGTTCATCTTGCCCGTTCATGGAGCCAGCCATATAATAAAGTGGTCATTCTTTGACATAGAAAACATACAAGAAAACACAGTTGAGCTTCCTATGAAAGTATATCTATGGGCCGGGAATGCGTCTAAGCGGCCTTACGGCATATGTTCCCTGATTATAGGTTAGAAATGTATCACAGTACATTGCCTTTAGTGGGTTCACTCATGTCAAGAGAAGAGAGTTGAAAATATAACGCGCAGCGGAGTATTTTTGACGCAATTCGAAGTGTTTGGAAATGAGGTCAAACACTGTCTTGAGTGTTTGTTATATCGTCTAAATCGAAACTAAAACTAAGGAAAAAACGGAGAAATAAAATCATAAAAATCTACGCTAATTAAGATGAGATATAGTGTCCAAACACCGTCACGGTCATGACATACTTTGTTTAAACTTGATGAATTAGTAATGATTTGAGAAATGATTGCACAAAATAAGAAGTGGAGATATTGACTTACTCTCGCCTTCCGCTGGGGTAAGTTGTCCTGTCATCTGCGTCACTTGCTGTTGCGATGAATTCAGTATACCACCTCCAGACTGTCTCAATCTAAGACAAAGCACAACATAAGTGAACCGCTAAAATATCAGTATCCAAATTCTCAGGTTTGGTATCAACCATTTCCTTATATTTTTCTAGGGAGAAATTGGATCTCCGTTGCAGTACAAATACTTGAACCGGGCCACTCAGATCTTTCCAGAATAATGTGTGACAATCTTTTCCCTAAGCAAACCAACGATGATGAAACATTAAGAGAATGGTCAGTCTACAGTTAAATTTGAAACCACGCGAGGGCAAATAAAAATTTAGTTGAATTTGTACTTGTTAATAACATATAACAATTCAAAACAAAAATACGTGACTGGTATCAAGTGCGAGAGTCAAGTATAATGATTGACCCTGGTTTTCAATTGAGTGTCGTAAAACCAAAACCAAAGTAATCACCCTGACCAATCACAAAGGGGACAGACAATCCAGTGAAACAATCAAAACTCAAATTAATTACATGTAGCTGACGCAAAGCGCGGGAAAACGCGTGCGAGCGAGGTACGATTGGTTTTGGTTTTACTTCTGATTGGATGAAAAACGTCGCGCGAGTTTTTTTGGCCAATCGTGTGACGTAGTTGACGCAAAACCAATTCCTTTTCGATACTCAGATGAAAACCATTCCATTTCGCCAGGTGCAGAACTGTTACTTGACCTTGCCAATCATAATAAAAATATTGCTGAAGAAAATGGGCGCAGGAAATGACAAGCATAATGATGTTTATAAGATCGTCAACTTTGAGGTCCCTGGACTTTAAGAGAGAGATTTAATGACGGATTGAAAGCTTCAAAACTCAGGAGGATTTCAGACTGACATAAATACGACAATTCTAAATAAAAAACAGGTTTCGGCAGAAGCTTTTACCTTCTCCAGTGTAAACATCTACAAGAGATGCAAATTGAAATATAAATAACTAGTACATGCTGCTGTCAATCTTGGTTAGAATAAAACAAGAAATGAAACCACCTCTCCCCTCGAATCAATGTTGAACTGGCGCCAAACCCAAAACGTCCAAAATTGTCCGAGGTTTTTACTGCTGTTCAGACCTATAGGAAGATTTGCACTAAGAAAAAA